GAACGCTCTAATTTCAGGACCTACTAGATCAAATTGAAAAATTATTTTAGTGTTGGATAGCCTATTCATTAAGTAAGTAAATAGGAGCGGAGCATCGATGAAAAATGTTGCTAATTATGTTTTTAGAAACGCAGACAAAGTAGCGTATGTCAGCTAGTGCTGAATAAAATCAATTTAAAGTAACGTTAAATAAACTAATAAAATATTGAATGTAAAATAAGGATTACAAATAAATATTTCGGATACCTGACACACAACGCCATCTAGTTTCAAACTAAGCAGAGCTTGTACTCTATACTTTTTTTTTCAATAAAGTAAATATATGTATGTGTGTGTATATAGAAAACACCCAAACTTCGAAACAAATATTTGCAGATCATACAAATACTCGTATTTGGTCCGATTCCCGGGAATCGAACCCGAAACCTCAGAACAGCAGTAGCATATGCTACCACTACAGAGCTATTAGTTAGTAGAAGACTCGGACTTTCTGCAACACCTAATTAGACTTGCAATTATGCGACAAGACTTTCCGCAATACCTAATTAGACTTACAAGTATAAAACAATAACGTGCCTGACCTATTACTTACACTCCCCAAGTCATACGTATAAGCAATATACCTTTCTTACCATGTCTTTACCTTCTTATCTATCTTTCCTTTAACTACAGGTACTTCGAATTTTCTAATCTTAATCCTAAAATACCAGGGCGACGGTAAAAGGCTTGTCTCCTAATAAATAAGTGGTACTAAAATCTTATCTGTCAAAAAGTGAGTGTATGCAGTTACTTAGTGACTTACATAAATCTTAAAGACTTGGCAAAGTATCTTATTTTCAATATAGTATTTAATAAGTTTCTGATATACTATTAATATATTTTGAAAATTGCGCACAGCTGAAAGAGATTCAGACAGCGGACAAAGCTTTGCTTGTAGTTAATAAAATATTTATAAGTCAATAACCTTTGTCGGCGAGTGTACTATTAGATTAGAAAGTACAGAAACTGTAGCTCGTTTGTCTCGCGTCTGATCAACACTCATTATCCCAAACAGTTATATTTTCAACGACTAACTGGCGAATTCGTGATACTGATGCTTATATAAAACGACTTGAATTCCATAGATATATCCATAAAAAAATAACAGCAACGCTTTGTATTAATTAAAGACACGTATTATTTCTGGGGGGGTCTGATTAGTCAGCGCTACCACAGAATATGACGTCTCAAGCCAAGCCCAAGCCAAGTTGTCAGCCCCGAACTTAGTTGGAACATAGAAAAGTGACGTAGAAACGTGTTCATTGCTTTTCACCCTGTGATTGAGGTTACCGGAGTCCAAACCCCCATCTCCCTGAAGCCGGCGGGAAGGGGGATGGCTCAAAGGGCGGCAACTCTTGACTCTTGAATTGCAGGTGGCCATGGGCTGCGGTGGTCTCTTACCATCACTGCCCGGCTTAGGCGTCGCAGCGTCGGGTCCTCATTGCAGTTATTGGAGGGGATCTCTCGCTACCGGCCATCATACGCTCCATGGCCAGTAGGGGCGGTTGTTTTACCACGGTTGCATCCTTTTGCGAAGACGTCATCTCGCAGAAGGAGGCGGCGGAGAGAATCCGGGAGGATGATCTCCATTCGGACCCAATTCGCCGCCAATGAACCGGGTGGCGGAGGTGCACTTACCAGCTCCACATGCCGCCGTAAGTGTGGCCGCGAGTTTTCCCCTCCACCCGCCATAACTTCCAGCCGTGAGGAGGCTGCGTCCGCGTGTGCCGGACGTTGCCTAAATACATAGAGATAATAAAATAGGGAGAATGTACGCGAAGGTGGTAGCGGACAGGTGCTATTACACTGTATGATTTTAGTCGGTCCGATTTCCACACACCCCTTACGCGCAACACACGTTAAAAAAACAATTTAAAAAAAAAAGTCTTACTATCACGTGTGCCCAACGTGATAGTAATAGATAGGAATAGATAAAAAGTAGGATGTATAGTTTGAGTCAGGATAGTTATAGGTACATCCTACTTTCTCGCCTACTTCGAATAATGTTCCAGAATTTAAATTTTGTGTCAACAATCACAGAGTGTTAAATTTATAGCAGCAACTGAATCGTAAAATATGTAACAAGAAATCTTATGTCACATCCCTTTCAGTGCGCTTAGAACCGTACGAATAAAATCACCATTCACCGAACGTAATGGACGTGTGCTCGCAGCAACTTAGTTTTATTTTTTACAATAAGACTTCACTTTGACAACCTAACGCCAGGTTTGCGGTGACCAGAAACAAAACTATTTAGAGTACAGCTCCGTTATGTTATAGAATTTTACAAAGTTTTTTTATTGAAATAGCGGTAATATTGAAATATGTTAAAGATTTCGTAGGCAAGTTGCACAATTTGCAGACAACAGTAACTTGGCTGGTAAGTTAGGTTGTTTTAGAGAGGTGGGGTATATCATATTTTGCCACATCCAACTGGTCCCACAACTTGCAGAGCGCAATAATTTGCAAAAAAAAAACAGTTCATTATATTACAAACGTTTTAAAAGGCAATTTCTTTTTTATAAATCTACGTGCTATACAGATAAAATAGGAGGACGGCATTTTAAATTATTACAGAACTTCTTAGAAATAAAGATTTACGCAACGTTTAATGGAATGTATGCGTGTATTCAGACGAGCAAATACAAATTGCTATTATAAAGCAGCAAAATTTTTAACAGGGTCTTCCAAACTGGTAAACTGTTATATTTTATCAGCAGACATCTCAATAATACCCATATATGCTTAGAGCCGAAATCCATATACATTCCAGTTCGTACCTTTCCAATAATTTATTTATAAATTATTCCGTCTTTAGTGCCGGGTTTTGTTCCGACCTTAGTACCTTTACAGGATGGGTTTTATGGATTATGTTGGAAGTGGAAATAAACTAGTATTGTAGGCTCTACGATATTATTCTTTATTTACCTATTAAGATGGATTACTATAATACCTAGTAATTAACATTAAGACAATTAACCCTACTTTTTTCTGTTCAAAAAAGTGTTTTTAGCTGCTGTATCACGTGTTGTGTTCTATTTCTTTTAGAATTTTAAAATATGTGCGTTCTAAATTAGCAGCTATCATAGTCTATTTCGTAAAGCTTATCAAGAGAATCTTAAAATATCATTACAAAAATACAATAGATCTACAATACATCTACAAACAGACAGACAGAACAGATAAAACTCAATCAAACGATTCGTTATGAACACAGAATAACAATTTTAAAAGTGATACCTTTTCGTGGGTTCAATCGAATATTTATATAAACTCGAAGACGACAAAAGAAAACACATATGAGATATCTTTTGCTCTAAAATCTTTCTTGTTATTTCTTTGTAGAGTTCTGTTTTTTTAAATTGCTGCTGTTGTCATAAGTATGAGCACATTTAACATATTATGTGCATTGTCACTTCTTTTATTCTTGATCTATGTGTAGCGATAAAACCAAAAGTGACACAATAACTACTATAAAATGTTAGTTCTTACTGTCATATATATGTCTGCAACTTCGATCGCGTTAAGAACGCATTTAGACAGAGAGATTACTCAATTATTCTAGAAGTATATTACTTAATATTAAATGAATAAAATAGCTACAGCGTTTATGAAAAGGACAATGTACACACATAAATCACGAAGTGGCAATATTTATTTTTCACGTAAAATTCATAAGTAGGTTGAATAAAGATATAGCATGAGATTTGGGTTTATGTAGTATTTAATAGTCAAGATTACAAACCTCTATAATTTTTTATTGATTCTATTAAGTTACGAAAGACAAAATGAAATAAAAATTACACATATTTTTCAAATAAAATTTATTAACAGTAGTCGTGTCAATTTAAGCAGCTCTCCAGTTTTATTAAGTCATTTGTTTTAACTGTAAAAAACCAACCCAAACCACTAGCTTTAGGTTGGTTTTTTACTAGCACTTAAGATACGTAGATTAACTTAAGAGCACACTACGACTGAGTCTCATTGCGGGGAGTGATGCTGTCTTCGCTTGACTTGCATTACAATAAAAGTATTCTGTTGTAAAACTATAAAACTAACTGCGCAATATGGTAAATGAAATAGTAGAACTTAGATTTAGTTTTGGTTTGGTTGAAGGACTTCAATGTGCATGCAAATTTTATAAAATATATACAGGTTATATTCTGAAACGGTGTAGTCAAATTTTAGAAACGTTATATGTACGCGAAAAATGGTTGATTGGTTTTTGGTGGCAACGCACATGTTATACAAATGAGCAGGCGGGTGACCTGATGATAAGGGACTACGCCACCCATGAACACTTGAACCTCAAGGATCATAACTGCGTTGCTGGAGTAAACTAGTATTTCTTTTCTAGACGGATTAAAGGTTGTATAGGTCCGGAAACACCGCCTTGATAGTTTATTAATAAAGGTCAAATCAATTTATCTTATTAAATGTAATTAAGTTTACTTATGAAATTCATCCATTTAATACTGTAGTATACTTCACTTGTATTAATTTATTTATTGTGGACTTTGTGTGAAGTGGTAAACTGCTTAATATTGGTTTATAGGTGCATACAATTATAGGAGAAGCCAAAAGTTAGTTTTATTTTATAAATTGCACTTGGCATTTTCAAAATAAATTTCAAATAAGAGATAGCATTTTGATCATTACAAAGAAACAAATATTTCGTAAAGGATTGATGGTTTCATTATACAAAGAGGCTCTTGGTCAGGGATATATCAGGGATTAATGATTCTGACGGCTGAGATAGAGGTCGTGAGTTCGATTCGGGCCCAAAACAAATAATTGCATAATGAGATTTACCTATTATATATGATGTATTTGGTACTTTATGAGTATGTTTATCAGCAGTCTAGACATCGTAGTATAAGCTCTGCTTATCTGTGGATAATGGTGGTCGGACTGGACCAGGTAGATATACAACTGTTTTACAGTTACTAACATTTAAAAAACTACTTGTAAAACTTTTCACCGGTCACTTTTAAAGTTCTGTAAGCACCATGTATTCCGTCATCTAAATCTTCATGCCTGTGTAGTGACCGACAGGAATGTGTCCTTGTGACCACGTCGTAAGAGGCAATAGTTCCGCGCAGTCCGCGCACAGCACTTCGATGTCTTGTACGTGTTCGGGCTTCTGGTTTCAGGTCTGTGTCGTAGAACATGCGTTCTTCTGTTTGAAGCCACTTTGAATTTGATAACAGTTTCTTTGTCCATTCATCTGAAAACAGTTTGTAAATACATCATTATTTAAGTATAACATACATACCATTTTTTTTGTTGACGAGGTTGAAAATCCCTTCGGATCTTCTGCTACTCGGGGAGCCAGGAGTAAACCACCCCGACGGCCGGCCTCAAGTGCCCTACTCTGGGAGGACCCGGGTCCTCCCCAAATTGACACCATGCCTAATCAGGCCCTATCCCAGGGGAAAAACACTTCCCATAACATACATACCTAATGTACATAATTAAATTCAATGATAAAGTAAAGTTAAATTCTATTGATTCAAATATAAGTTTTAAGTTTGAACAGTAAATACTGTTCTAACTTAAAACTTATATTTAACTCATAAATATTATACTATACTTACTTAACTATAGTATATTATTATATTTAATAAACTTATATATACTCAAAAGATAAATTGAAATTAAAAGAGTACATTAAGGACGCATTTATTTTCATTTGTGTAAATTTTTTTTTTTATTTTTTTAAAGACGACTCCCGCATTAGGAGTGTATCCTATGTTGCGGGGGACCTAACAAACATACATGAAACGGACACAAAGAACACCAACAATATATTATGCTCCTTGTTGTATGTACAACATAAAATTTGATATTTTATTAGTAGACACTTTTAAATAAACAAACAGAAAAGAGGTTGATGACATTAAGCATGCTCAAATAAAAAGTTAGATACTAGATTTATAATTCTCTTTATAATAAAGAGAATTATAAATCCAAAGATGAATGTATATTATATATTTCCTATTCTACGTATAAAGTAGTTAGTACTTTATATCACGCGGTTTAAACCAATTTCTGGACACAGGAATAAAAAAATCAAGTATTAAATCCTCTACCAATAACTCTATGAACCTGAAGGTCAATTCTCGTAATAAAAGGTCGGTCACAATTCAGTACCGATCAACATTCGATCTCACAAATGTCACTAGTGAATACCTTGAATGACAATGAATGGCCTTCTGGTCTTGTGTTAGGAATTTTGAGGCGTAATTAATGGTCTCAAATCGCTTGAAAAGTTTGGCCGCAAACTTAGCTATTATTGTTAAATCCATTAAAAGTTAGCCGCAACATCTATCTTAGTTGACGTAAATTAATTTTCCATTGCACTAGCCGTTTTTGTTCAAGTTAAATCTTCACATCCGAAATTGATTGAGTTGGTCCAAGTACAAAGTATCCAGTACAAGCTAGTAGCATATATCATCAACAGCCTTTACTGGTCCACTGCTGGACATAGGCCTCTCCTTAGAAAGGAGATTTTGGCCTACTACACCTCGCTGACCCTGGTATAGGGTTTGTTTCAAGGTTTCCTTCTCTTTGCAGTGCTGTTAGTTTGTCCTGCATAGTTTGTTTCCTTTTTCGGCTCTTACGATACCCACGGAATGAATAGGGGTGGTGACACTCTGTATTCTTAATCCGTCACCACACGGACTGTAGCATATAAAGGGTTTTCCAATAAGAGGTGTTATTTTAGTACTCAAAGAAAAATGAATTTTTTTAAGATAAATAATCGGCTGATTATTTTATAATAAAGAGGAAGGTATGCCGTTGATAATGGAAGATAACATCAGCCAAAATGCTACCAAGACCATGCTTACAGGACCATATCCTTTAAATGAAATTTTGCATAACCAAATCGCAAAGTGGCTGCCCTATGTCCTCGATAGCCTCACGAATTCCATCTTTGAGGTCTTGAATCGACGCTGGGCTGTTGGCCTTATCTTTCACGTGGCCCCAAAGGAAGAAGTCGCAAGGTGTTAAATCACAAGATCTCGGTGGCCAATTGTGATCACCTCTTCGAAAGATAACACGGTCAGGAAACTTTTCCCGTAAAAGAGCAATGGTTTCGTGTGGCACGGAGCGCCGTCGTGTTGAAAGTAAACGTTGTCCAGATCAATACCATCCAACTCCGGCCATAAAAAAACATTAATCATAGCGCAATCCATCTCGATAGCGCAATCCATTCACAGATTTTGATCACAAGATTTTCACCATTTTTGTAGTGAATTTTAATAATTTCAATGCGTTGTTGAAGTGTGTATCGTTCCATTTTTAGTAATGGCGTAGTTTCTACTTGTCAAATGTCAAAAAATAAAAGCTTCAAAAGTGACAGCTACCGAAATACCGGGTGATTCAAAATAACACCTCTTGTTGAAAAATCCTGTATAGGTATAACAAAATGTTATTTAAACCATAAACAGCAAATTAAAACTTTTTCGATCTACAATAGAGGCTGCGAGTTTTATTGCAGTATTTTTTATTACAGGCCCTCTTTTAACTATTGCGGTTCAAACTTTTGAACATGTTACTGAAGTGGTATTTCTGACTTTCATAACAGTAACCACTATGAATTGCAAAATGTATCCATATGTTCATTAATGTCAGCACTCACTATATTGTTGAGGGAGCGTACCCATTCTATGTGATCAGAAGGCGAATTCTTGTAATAAAAGTTCGGTCCCCATTCAGCTCCGGATATTTTCCTTGACTGTAATGATTATATCATATTGTAACCGAAAATTAAATCGATAATCTGCTAGACATAGCAATACTTTACTAATTTACTACGAAAATACCTTTTATGGCAGTTGTGAGATCTAAAGTTGATCGGAAATGAATTGAGACCGAACTTTTATTACGAGAATTGGCCTATAGTTTAGAGGGGGTCTACAAAATACCACGCTTGGTTACAGGGGCGGCAGTATTCCTTAGATTTTTTTCTCGTAGTCAGTGTCCATAGCTATATGCAAATATGGCAAGCGCTGTATTAATAAAGACAAATATGCGCCAAATTTTTTTTCTTTCTGTTTGGAACAAAGTTTTTCAACCGTGTTTATGAATTACTATGTGAAAACTAGAAGGGGAAGATCTTGGCATATACTACGGGTTGTCACCGACGGAGAGGGTGAAAAAAATATAAAAAAATGAGCACGTACAAACCTAGTGACCCTGACTGCTAAGCCGGAGGTCGTGAGTTCATTTCCAACCCTTGACAAATATTGTGTGGAAAGCTTGGTCATTTGTTCTGTGTCTGGGTGAAATTTATCTATAATATGTATGTTTTTAGAAATACATAAGTATGTTTATCAGCAGTCTGGTTACCATAGTACAGGCTCTGCCTAGCTTGCGATTAGACTGCCGTGTGTGAAATGTGTAAAGTTATTATTCTAATACTGAGCCAATGTAATGTCTAATAGTATTTTATTTATTATATATAAAATATATACATATATAAGTTAGATTTATCTTAAATTAATAAATGTAATATAAATAAAATACAATTCTCTGTTTTCTCTTGCACATACCGCATCATTTTTATACATCACCGACTGTCAGAGTATGCCCTGGGCATTAAGTTTGCCTGAATACAACTTGTACATTAAGTTATATAAATAAAAGAAATAATAGCGTAGTGGTAACGTACTGCTATTCAAAAGGTCGCGGGTTCGATTCCCGCTCAAGTCAAACATTTGTGTGCTTGAACATTTAATGTTTGATTTGGTCTGGGTGTTTCTATATATAATTAGTATGTATTTACAAAAAAAGTATATATGTATTGATATCAGTTGTCTAGTACCCATAGTACAAGCTCTGCTTAGTTTGGGACTAGAAGGCGTTGTGTGAATGTGGTAAAAACATAAACATAAATAATGCACTACAGTACGTACCGTTGAGATCTTTCATTGCTCCAGCTTTACCGCCGTACTCATACGGCAGATTCTCAACGAGATACCGATCAGCTCCTAATGCATCTTCTATGCTATTGACATTGCTATGAATTTGTATCACTTTAGGTCTCCAAGGGTATAGGCCTAGATGTAGAAGAAGGAGGGACATCGTCTTCAAGCGTTGTGTGTTGATAACATGGACTTCTGTGATACGGAGTGGGTAGACAACCTGAAAAGTAGAAGTAAAATTTCATTGAATTAGAAAACGCAATATAAGCTATCGTGAATTAAAAACTACCTATAAGTTATCAATCTAAAAAAAAACACTGGTTTTTAGGCATAGGTATCTTGCAAATAACCGCGTGAGTATGAAAAAACCGGTCAGGTACGAGTCGAACTCGAGCGCCAAGGGTTCCGAACCTACCCAGATTTTACGTAGATTTTCGCGAAAATTTGTAAGTACCAAAATTTATCTTTTTTTGAATATTCCTTTATTTGTGCTGTAAGACGTTTCTTTTAGCCAAATTTCGTGATTCTACGTCAACGGGAACTACCAAATAGGTTTTCGACCCAAAACCTATAGGGTACTTCCGGTTGACCTAGAAATGTCAATTTTTTTACCTTTTGAGGTACGGAACCCTAAAAACCCTATTATTTTGACATTACAAATTACAAACAGTCACTTCAATTTTATTTATTTGTATAGATAGTACTAATTAATTTATAATTTTAAATGTATTGGTCGATCTTTTACTTCTAAAGTCCTTAATAATATTTAGCCTGAGGTTGTTTGATGTAGTCTTAAGTTCAAAAAACCCTAAAAAACAGTACCTTCATACACCAAATAAAATCTTTCCAGTAAGATCCTCTGAAGTGATGTTTGATATGCGCTGGTTGAAGATCAGCGACATCGATAAATACCACTTCTTCTCCAGGAGTTGGATCTTCCCGTAGCCTGAAATATGTTTATTATAACAATGAATTAAAATTTTACTTACTTATGGATATACTTACCTATGCCATATTAAAATGCAATGCCTAAATTTATTGAAACCTTCAATTTTTTAAATAAATGGCTATACATATAGAATATGGCTATAAATAATGGCTACAAATAGTCTTGTATCGATAAAAGAGCCTATTGTAGTCTGTGTCGATCGCCATTGAAGCTTTGTTCTTCGAATCTCATTATGGACCAATATCAGTTTTATTTACTCAGTTGTTACTTATTTATTTGATATTTAACGAAATGTTAAATTTCAGTGTTCAGTATAATAAAGTGTCTTGTTTTTCTATATTTGGTATGCCTTGATTTGTCAAAAAGATATTTATGGTAATGATTATTTTAACAAGAAGATACTAAGCGTACTTACCAAACACGGTTAATTTACAGACCTTGTAATTTACGCACTATGCTTAATAGGTGTAACACATGTTACGAAAGAATTCACTACAGGTGCAGGTGTTGAAACTGAATAAAATTATAAGGGTTTTGTAATTTTGGTGATTTTTACCTGATGTCTAATATCATGAGCCACCTAGCTAGTAAAGCTTTAGCAGATAACGATCCATCTTGGGCTGTAGGACTTGGCAGTCGTAATATTGTCAGTCGTCTGCCACCCGCACTGCGATATCGTAAAGGTACTATATATCTGAAAAGAATTTGCAAGTTTTGTAGTTTCATGAAATCTGAATGACATATTAAAAAAAAAATCATTATCACCACTGGTCACTGGATCTGGATCACCACATTTAATGGTGCACTACCGGATATAGACCTCTCCTTAGAAATGGGGTTTTGGCCTATTACCACGCTGGCCAGGATCCAAGGTTTATAGCTTGTATTAATTATAAAAAGGATCTCATAACAGTAAATAATACATTTACATTTTAGAAATGCAATTGCATTCTTTTGCTAGTATCTTTTGTGAGTTCATATTAATCTCCGTCGGGTTTATTACGCAGTTTTTTTTTTTTTTTAATTGGCAGTTTAATTTGGCAAGAAACAGTTATATACAGTTATAATACTTATAAATATGTGGCTCTTTGCAATAAACCTATAGTGCCGAACTGATGTTTTCAGTAACAACAATAAAATTTAACTCTTAATTTGGGATCATAAGGATACTTACACATCTTGACAACTGGACAAAATATCGTCATCATCTGGATGCCTTTTGTGCCAAAGTTCTGTCAAACCGCCTGGACCTCTAGCTTTGTAATAACGCCTAGCTCTTTTAGCTGCTTCAATCTCGTTTCCTTCACAAGTAACTGGAAAAAGATTGAGAACCACGAGCTCATCTGGGGTAGCCTCTCTGGTTAGGTTGTCACGGGCCCATCGTTCTGCAAACGACGCTGCGGGTGACATCCTGGAGCTGGAAATAATATTTAAATAACAATATAATTATTATTAATTTTATTATATTCGCGTAAGTGTAGTATATATATAAGTGTTAATGGTAACCATACTCATATCTTTGTATGTATTGTACGTTTAACTATAAATAACAGAACCAAATATGATGGTTTAATTTTAGAATTAGACATGATGGATATCATCACAAACTGAGTTTTAGAAATTCTTCTACTATAATTATAAAGTACAATATTCTTGAAGTAAAATGTTATTGTTTTTTATTTTCGAAGTCAAAAGTCAAGGCAGGATAAAGTCTGTCAGTTCTGCTAGTAAATTTATAAAATTAGATATAAATATAAGACGGTCTTTCTTTTATAACAGTAAATGAAAATACCAGACTAACTAAATACTTGAAAAAATAAATATTTTTATTGCTAATGTCTGCTCTGTGCTAGTGTCTCCCCAAGTTATAAGCCTTAACCAGATAAATTATCAGCCAAACAGTGGCCTATTGTTGTGTGCAACAGACTGTCATGGAACAGAGTTTGATTTATTACATTTGAGATTTTAATTGAATTTTGACAGAGTTTGATTGAGTGGATTTATTACAATACAATGTACATATTAAGTATTTCATCAGATCATCATTTTTAGTAACAATCGCTGTGTATTAGGTTCAAATCAATTAAATATTATATCCTACCACACAATTAGAGTTGTAACAGCAAGGCACATTATCGTGCATTATTCAGAAAAATATTGTAAATTAAAGTGGTTGACTCCTACTTAGCCACTTAACCATGAAGTTGGCCTTGTTCGGATCGGTAGGTATGTAAAAACACAATTTAAAAAGCCATGTTCTTAACCTCACCAAATTGTAATAAAAAAATAATGTGATGTAGTTCTAAGTACAAATGTACACGCTCTGGTGAGTCTTGGAGTATCAATGACATCGCCATAATTGCACACAGCAAAATTACCTTTGGCTGGCTACTACTATACTTCCCGAAGGTTTGACAGAAATACTTTAAGTTTAAAAAGTTTTACCAATATTTACGCCTCTCAAAAAAAATGTATTCATACTTTATCGTAATTATGTTCAATATTAATGTATATATTGTAATGTTTTGTTAATACGTAATAATGACTGAAAATTGAAATAATGAGTGAAGCAAAATATCGTTTTACTCACGTATGTTTATGCGATCACAAGTACAAAAAGAGAATCGTTAAATATAAGGTAGATTGTAAGAAGGGGTAATTAGGGAGGGAGGGGATTAAGAATATGGATAATCCATGTGGTGACGGATTAAGAATATGGAGTCTCACCACCCTTGTTCATCCCGTGGGTGTCGTAAAGTCGACTAAGGGAGCAAACTATGAATCCCTATACCAACCCGTCTGGCCAGTGTGGTATTGTATCCTTTCAGAGGAGAGGCCTATGTCCAGCAGTGGACAATTAAAGGCTATTGATGATGATGAAGGAGAGGTGAGTAACTTGGGTTGGCCTTTGCCCCCTAACTATAGCAACAACCATACTAATAGTTGTTGCTATGGGAGTTTTTTTATCATGTCATTATGCTAGGTACTAACCTATATACACAATGGCATTATAAAAAAAAAAAAACTCCTTGGTACAATAATTGATTGGTTCAAACTTACACATCTGGAAAAAAACTTTGTATTTAAATACTAATTTGTGGTTTACTTACAGTATCTGTAAGCATAAAGTACTTGGAATACTATCCCAATATGTTGCTAGTCCCAGACAATATCTAACCAATAAGTAGTAATAAAAAATGGTGTCATGAAATTCTGTATATTTCAGCAGATAAAATCAATCGATCAACCTATTGCACTCATCGGATGGACAAAGGCCACTCCCAAATTGAATCCAAACCATCTCAGTTTTATTTATTTCTCTCTTCCTATCACCCTTATGCATTTTTTTGTTGACGTGGTTGAAAATCCCTTAAGATATCCCGCTCCTCGTGGAGACACATTTGGAACACTTCAAAAAGCCAGCACTAAATTATAACTTGGCCTGAGTATAGTTCTATATGTATGTAATAAATATACGAATTAAAATTAAGAATTTTTATATTTTCATCTAAACTTTAGTGTGCCATATGTTAACTTGTAATGAACAATAATAAATAACGGTAATATGTTATCTGTGAGTAATGCCCGTTATTTATGTTATTTTAGAATACGATGAACTTATGATGTACAGGAAATAACGTGACTTATAAATTGTGCCGCAAAGGCTTGTTTTGGTATGTTTGTCTATTTTGGTATATAAGTTATGACTATTGAGTTGATTATAGTCGTTGAAAAGTAGACTATTACTATACTATATAAAATCTTTCAAATAAAGATTTAACGAGAGTGGAAATGTGATGTATAAGAATATTAAGGAGCTTAAAAAAAAAAAAAAAAAATTTTCATTAATATTAATCTCCAAGCTCTAATTTGGTAGTATTTTATTATTGATTTACTGCTAAAGATTCAATTGAAACATGTAATAGTATAAATTTTACAATCGCTTTTTACAATTCAGAGGGAGGGGAGGTTAGTTAGAATTTTTGGCCTGTTTTGACTGTGAAGTCAGTCAGTTAGTTTTTTCTACATGTGTCTTATTTGTTTCGTAATTATCTTATGAAATGTGTTAAATTTGTAAAATTCGAATATTTAAAACCCTTTTTGGATGTATATATACCAATTTTTTGTTTCAGTTCTGAGTATCCTGTATTTATTTTGACATTCCTGAATCTTATTTAATTGTCAGTTACAGTAATCATTGAAAAAATAAATAAATACTAGTAGAAGTAGGAAACAATTTACTTTTTTTGGTGGTTTTCATATCTTCAGGCGACTTCATAAAGTTATTGAGAAGTTTATGTTTGGCTTTAAGTGAAATAATATATTTTTATTTTATAAATTTAGTAACTTTGTTACTAGTATTGAAGCAAACTTCAGCCATATAAAAGATAATCTAAAACTAAAAGCCTTAAACGGACTTCAAAAATAATAAAACATTTACGAACAATGAAATTAAAATACCACTGTATCCTATCACGGCTTTTCCTTGACATTACACGACAGAATCGGCTTATTGGGCAATAGGTCATGCAGAGTAGAATAGAGCGGGAAGCAGAGCATTTTGAGAACAATGAAATTAATGATTATTGTAAGTATACTCGTATACTCGTATGTGTCATAGAGGCCATAAGTGTGTCATAGCTTGTCTTGTAGATATGAATGAAATATCATAGTTACGATAAATTATTATTATTATTATATTTTTTGACAAATTTATTAATAATATACATTGCTCATTTTATTAGTAATTAAGTACTTTTTATGTAATGCAACGTAAGTGACAATTCTAACCAAATATAAAATACTTGTGGTTTATTTGTTTTCAATTTGGTATTAAAAGATTACCTAACTTTAACACATTATCACGGTTAAATATTTTCCCTTAAGGATTTGAGGTCTTATCCCAAAAAGCTATTCACAGGAATCGTACGAATCAACCCATTTAAAATAATAGTTTTTTTGCAGTGTCGTTTGGCACAGATACATTTTTGAGTATTTGAAAGTACACTAGTAAATAAATAACTGTGATAATTTTATTAATTACAACGTCAAACTAATAAATAATTTGCAGAATAAACTTTACTGTACTCTTGCTGCTCTACTGTAAATTTTGGTGTTGATATAGCTACAGAGTAGATTATAAATATAGCTGAGATCGCGCTAAATATAAAATAAATCTTCAGACACTTTCAAATTTTGGTTTGGAGAAAATATTGTCAGATATTGTCATGCACACTCCATAAAAGTTTTCGCACGACTGTGTTCTAACATGATTCTAAAAATAGAAAACTGCGAATGGCCACAGTCACTTGTAATGCGGGATCGATTAACACGGAAACAATAATAATAATAACTTGAGATACCTCACATACAGTGTAATCAGAGCACAAACTAAAAAGGGCCTGTACCATGGTAATCACTCTGCTGATAAGTCTTTTTTTTTGTCCTGTGTCGTGGGAGACCTTATAAACATAAATGAAATGGACACAAAAAACACCCAGACGCAGAAAAACAATTTGTGAATCACTCGAAGTGTCCTCCCATGTGGGGATCGCACCCACAGCACTTAGCACAGTAGTAAGCGGCGCGCGTGGCGACCGCTTAAACTACTACGCCATCCGAGCAGTTAAGTCAGTCAAGTGTACTGCATTTTAATTTCAGATCAAATGATCGTACTCGTGACATATACAAATAAACAAACTCCATCGAAAAGGACTACTTCATTACTATACTACAATACACTTATTTATTTACTTCAGAAAATATTATTTTTAAAGAAGATCGACACGCACTATTCGCGCAAATGGCTACTAAGCTTATATTATACCATACCATTATGTTTGAGTATATGTTCATGTACATATATATGTATATTATAATAATATGTTTTCTATATTTGTTACTAACTAGTTAATTATTGTTTCCCCTTAAACCTAGTGAACTAAGCCAATTATTCCCGTTTGTGTTTTTGTTGGTGGAAAATATTTCGAGCCGTTTCTTCTTGCGGTAGGAAATGCCTGTGGAATTAAGTCCACATTGTATAATATTTGTTAAATAAGTTTATGATTACAAATTATTTGAATCTCTCTTATTGCATTATGATTAGGAACACTATATCAAATGAAGCACCAATTTCCTCGCTGTGCCCAATATGTAAACCGCAGTAAGCACTCATTATTTCTGATATGATGGTAGTACAAAGCGTTAGCGTTAGATGACAGTCGTTATAGATAAGTAGAGTAATATCTAAGCATTCGTTCACGACGACCATATTCTGAAGGTTTCTCACGCCTACACCCACTTTAACAATGTCTTTATTGAAATGGTTCAGGGTAAGAGCATGTTTTCGTATAATTTATATTTATATGACTAGCTTTTGCTATTGTTTAGATTGTGTTAAATTTTACTGG